AATAATATTAATAGGTTATGTTGTTCTTAAACGTCCAAACTAATTTTTAAGCAGGATATCATTTTTCGAAAGTTAACGGAAGCTTCGCGCCGCGCTATCTACATTAAAACGGCGGAAACTTATTTGTACACCTAATATATTATATTGTTTTTCGATCCATTTTCTTTTTGTCGATCGATTAAAAGAAAAACTTGTTTTTATTCTAACAGTTACTTCAAGACGGCGTAATAGATTACGATGACGGCACACCATCGACCAAAGCGCAAATGTCAAAGGACGTTGTGGAATTTCTTTCCTGGACATGTTCGCAAGAACACGACACGAGAAAATTGATGACCATCAAAGCGATTGGTATTAGTATCATTCTTATGATCTCAGTATTACACATGAAAAAAAGTATATGGACTAACGTAATAAATCAACGGATTTTTAATATATCACGAGATAAATGCGAATAGGATAGAATAGGATTTTAATCCTTCTTTGCATGATTTTTTCATTTCTTTTAAAATAAATCAGGTTGATGTAATTAATGCTCTAGATTAAAGGAAAAATATTTTAAAAAAAAGATCCTAGTGTTATTTTTTGACAACTGCGTTTTGTTGTACGCAATAGTCGCTTAAAAAGTTGCCAGCAACGACAAATATACAGTACAAGGGTTTTGTGTACCTCTTTTTGTTGACTAAATATTATGATTGAAATTTTCATCATCGTGCAAAGAAGGGTTAATAAAAAAAAAAAAAAAAACAAAAAGAAAACCCTTCAATATACTTTAGATTTCCTTTTCTTCTTCTTATTCTTCTTTCGTTTTAATTTAAATGAAACATCTCGAACACGATTGAAAATATCTTTGTAACGTAAATAATGTTTCATTTAATTATAAATAATATCCAACAAATTGTACAAAAATGTATCATATGTAATTATCGTATTTATAGAATCTATCGAATAACATTTGAAAAAAGATTATTAATTATAATAAAGAGAAAAATAAAAAGGAAAGAAAAAAATGGGAAATATCTCGTTTGACGTTTCCCATTGACGCGCTTACCATTGACTTATTTTTCTTAATCATAGATTATTCGTTTCTAAACAGAAAGAAAAAAGAAAAACTTTAATACACCTCGTTTCCCTTTTCGTTTAATCGTTTAATCACTTTCAAGTAGACTCTTCTTATCGAACGTATTATCTTCTTCTATTACGTGTCGACCCTCTTCTTCTTCATCTTCATCTTCTTCCTTTAAACGTATTCCATGTCCCCCCAGTTGACAACGCGTTTCGTTTAAACAGATCACGCGAATAAGTAACAAGTTTTCAAACTGAATTCTTACATTTCTTTTCTTTTTCCATTTTTCTTTTCTTTTTCTGCAATACACACACGCGCGTAGTTGGAAAGAAAAACCGTATTTCGTTCCATCGGATTATAGAGGATGGAAACGTGAAAAAGAAAAAAGAAAAAAGTTCGAATGGGAATAAATCCAATCGATCGGTCTACTTTATTCTATTTTTTGTTTGTTTGTTTCTTCTTTCTTCGAACAATTTTTGTTCTCGTTTCAAACATGATCTATCTATTAATCAATCCTGTCCCCCTCCCATGACTACCACCATCACTTCTGCCCCTCTTATCATCCTCCCTCTTCCTCTCTCTCTCTCTCTCTCTCTCTCGTTCTCTTTCTTTCTGTTAGAAATCTAAACGCGTGTCGTCGATAATCGTTTCGCAATGCGGCCTTGACGTTGCCGAGTATACTCCTCGATCGGACCGGTTAAATATAGAAAGCTCGAGTAGGCAACAAACATTAACGACGTTTCTTACGAGTCGTTAACTCTGCAGCTACGATCGGATGCTTCGTGGTGAATTTCTATTTCGGTTAGAGTCTCCCTATATATATTTCCCTTTCTCTTCTCTCCTCTTCTCCCTACACACACTCTCTCTCTCTCTCTCTCACTGTTTCTTTTAAAAGAACCACCCACGTGTGAAGCGTCATTTTTCCGTCACATTCCTTAATGCCAAGTTTAGTATACGTCAAACTCTATCGATAATAATTAAACCTCCACCCCAGCCCACCCCACCTCACTTAGAATTAGTTTTGGAAGTTTGGCAGCTTGTCGATGTAGATATAGCAACAAGTGTGGTGTGTTCATGTTAAATAGAAAGAGATAGAGATAGATAGATGGATGGATGGATAGATGGATGAATAGAATGAGAAAACAGAGAGTAAGTGTGTGTATATGTGGTGTATGTATGTCTAAATGGTAAGTGTAACTGTAAATGTAAGTTGTTTAAGTGTGTTAGGGTAAATCGAAAATATACGGAACGATGAATGAAACTCCTGACTGACGTCGGACTATCTGGCGCGCCAAAACGACACCAAACACACAACACGCGAACGAATAAAACGTCGTTTAAACGTCAACGTACTACTTGCTGCTTCTGTTGTTGCTTCTGTTGCTGTTGCTTCTGTTGCTGCACTGCATCGTCAAAAACACGTTTGGTATTCGACTGACTGAAAGAGATCCGATGCTACTACAACCACCACTAACTAAAACATCGAGGACATGATGAATAATGAATGATCAACGTATATGTTTAACTTTATTATAGAAAAATACAATCGAAATAATACGTTTGCTTTGCTATTAAATTATTTCCTGACGTTTCTACGATATTTTAATTCAAGTTTATATTATTTTCTCTCTTTTTTAATCAAATAATTTCAATATAATAATAATAATAATAATAATTATATATGTATATTATTATAATATAAATTAATTCGAACAAACAAGCAAAAAAGAAAAAACAATAAAACGTAAAGTATTCTTTCGCGAATGATATTTCAAACATTAATTATTCCACACACACACACACACACACAAATAAAACATTTGAATTATACATGCTGAAATGTTAAAATTTAAACTCCCCCCTCCCCCAAAACAAAAAAAACAAACCAACGCGTGAACTTCTTAATTGCCAATCTAATAATTATTCATTGAATAATATTACGAATAGAAAGAAAAGAGAGGGGAGAAAAAGGATCGTGTCCAATAAATAGGATGAATTTGTTGAATGAATTTCGGATTTTGCTTATTGACGTCATTAAATGGTTCCACCACTAGCAACCCTCCCCCGACACCCCCATCCCCCCTCTCGAATCGTTATCTAACTAAAACGCTTGTTTTTTCAATCGCACGAAGAAGGAGAAGGAAACAAGAAAAACAAGAAGAAGAAGAAGAAGGAGAAATGATGAGGGGGTGGCAGGGGAAAAGGGGGGAGACGAATGGGGGTTGGGGGAGAACGGGGGGGGTGGAGTTTAGACCGCGACCGACACCGTTGCCAGACGCATCCGCATCCGAAAGGTTACGTCCGAATCTCGAAATAGAGGAACCCTCGGCAAAAATAGTTTCCCCCTTTCCCTCCTGGCCCCCCTATCGCCCTCTTCCCCCTTACCCCTTGACCCCCTTACCAACGTCTTCGATATATCGTCATCGCGAAATAGACCTCGAGCCGGGACCGGAAGACAGGGTGATGAAAACAACTAAAACTATCTCATCCTTCTTATGTACACACACACACACACATATATATATATATATATATTATACATGTTATATAGAAATGTACGTGTACGATATGATATGATAACGTATAGGAAAAAAATGATAGTGATCGAATAAGTTTGTTAATAATTAATTAGAATGATCGGCAAATGGATGATATTTTAACGTTAAATTTGCATTTTTTTTTTCTTTTTGTATGTTTGATTTAAAACCCTTCCTTTTTTCTTTCCCCCCCMCAGCCCCCCCCCCCCTATTTTAAATTCGTACATTATATAAATAAACGATAATACGATTGATTTCTTCTCACGTATAATCTTCAAAATATAAGATTAGATTAATTGATACGACGAGGTGATTTTATAAATGTAATATTATTATTATCTCTAGGAAGTATAAACGCGAATGAAAAATTCGTTTGAAATAGTTCAAAGAAAAATATAAAAGAAAGAAAAGGAAAATACGACGATGACTTTGAGCTGTCGTCGGGAAGGATTGGTCGAATGCCGACACGGGAAATGATTTAGAAATAGAAAATAATGAATAGATTAATAGACAAAAAGGTTAAAGCAAGAGAGAGAGAGAGAGAGAGAGAGAGAGAGAGAGAGAGAAATAAACGAGAACGAAATGTATAAAAGGCTCGCTATTATAAAATACATTCTGGCGCGTTTTGACTGAGAATTCCACCAAGTTTCCAGATGCGGAGGTGTCGGACCGATAAATAAGCGAATCCCGGCTAGAAGAGGAAACGTAAGAGCGAGAGGGTGAAATTTGCATTTCCCAAATATCCCTGGCAATCATTGGTATGCAATAGCCTCGTTTATTTGGCGCGAATCTCATAAACGATTTCTCCCTAACATTCCGAACGGTTAAACTTTCGTTCAATCTCTATCTCTCTTTATTTCTATTTATCTATTTCACTTTTCACGCAACCACCCACCTCGACACCACCCCCACCCCTTTTCCTATCATCTCGATTCTTTTTTTAGACGGATCTATCATTGACACATTCAAGAAATTCATTAATAAACTACCGAAAAGACAAAAATTTTACATCAACGACACAAAATGTGATAGGAATACAAATAATGAAAAATAAATAGATAAATAAATAAAATAGAAACGCGAAAATTTTGTAGACCAACGATTTGGGAACAAAAATAAATAAAAATATGAAGAAGAAGAAGAAGAACATAAGGAGAATTATTTTTTATATACGATTTTATAATAATAAAAAACAAAACTTCTCTGATTCGTTAACTCGAACGAATTTTTTACTCGGCACGAGCCACTCGTAACAACTTGGCACGACACTTTCGATTAATAATACTCGTAAACGTCTCTTTCTGTCTTTATCATTATCTTTCTCCCTCTCTTTTTGTCTCTCTCTCTCTCTTTCTCTCGTGCGTAACGTCGGTTGCTCATTGTCAGACAAACGATTTATGCGTTGCAATATTTGTATCTGTATATGTATATATATACATCTATACATCAAGAATAAAACGTATAATTTGATTACATTTATATATTTATCTTTAAATTTAACTTGAAAATAACTCTGACTCTTTCTCTCTTTGGGCACATAACAATTAAATAAATAAATAAATAAATAAATAAACGAAAATAAAAAAAAAAACAGAAGAAGAAATGTATTAATTAAATTCGTACGATTATACCGTAATTAATAATAATTTATCAGCGTAATATGTGAAATATATTAAATTAATCAAATTATATTAAAAGATTTTTCTTTTTAACTTCTCGTAATAATATTTTATATCATTGTTCTGATTAAAAAAAACAAAAATTACAAAAAAAAAGAAAAAAACGACATGTAATAATAATAATAATTATAATATTAAAGATAATTACGGTTGTGCACGCATATCGCGCATTATTGAAATCATATTATTAAATATTAATATTATATATTGGAAATAC